GATGGAAAAGGGGGGTGGGGGGGTACCAGCTGCGGGTGGTGACATCGCGGATGTCGCTGGCCTTGCCGCGCAGGCGGACCATGGTGCGGTGCTCGGCGTCGTTGAGGCGGACGAGAAACTGGGAGATGCGCTGGCGCGTGGCCGAGAAGGACAGGCGGTGGCGCCGCTCCGAGCTGTTGCGCCCTGCCGTCTGGCGGCTGGCGCTGCTGCGGCGCACTGTTGAGGGCGAGGGGGAGCGCAGTCTTTTGTTGTTGTTGCTGTCGGGAGTCGACCGCTGCCCGTGCTCGGACTTGTCCGCGTGTGACGCCCGCTGCTTGATCACCCAGATGTTGAGCAGGCGCGAGGTCATGAGCGCCAGGATGGACATGAGCGCCCACCCTCTGTGTGTTAGGTATCTACAGTGGGGGGAGAGCGGTTGGTGGACTCACAGTCTTTGAAGAGGACGATGAAGGTGATGGCGGCGATGGTGAGGACGGGGCCGGCTAGGTATAGCGCGTGAGAAATCCATCCAAAGTCGGTTACCTGAGTCTCCCTCCACGCGGTGGCGGTGTCACCGCTCTCAGACCGGTGCAGCTTGTACCGGCCCCGGGCAGCGACAGCACGGCCGACATCGAGCGTTACTGTCTCACCGGGTTTGGCGACGTTTTGGATGTAGTGTGCGGTGGCGGCATTGTTGAGCTTGAACACCACGGCCGAGCCATCAAGCTCGTCAACGACGTCAATAATAGCTCCGGCGCCGCCCTTGCGGAACAGCTCATCAGCGGCCTGCTGGTAATGAATCCCGGGAGCCAGCAGGAGAGTATCCATCCAGCTAGCCCCGCCCGTGAGAGCTGTCCGTTGGGCAATGGTTTGTAGGTCAGCAAGAGCAAGGACGCCTCCGGCAGAGAAGGCAAGGGTAGGGAAGGGCTTCTGAGCCCAGCCCTCAATGAAGGACATGACGACGGTCGAGTGTGCGAGGAGGATCAACCTCACTCTGTTCTAGCCCTCAAAGGGACACTAAAGGAGTGACTGGGCACGGTACCAGCCGTGCCGTTATAATTCGAATAACTGAAGGAGTGACAGCGTGATGGTATGTACACGATAATCGAAAGGAGTGACGGTGTGAGGACCGACCCCTCGCCCTCGACGACGCCCAGGACGGAATAGGCCTGTTCCTTAAGTGTCTCTATTTCCATTTTGAGATCCGCTCCAGTAGAGAAAGTCGGAAATCCTCGACGTCCCATGGCCTGGAGACCAGGCTCATTGTGATGTGACACAGGGGTTTAAAGAGGCCGGCCATTAGTTTCAAGGTCGATGGCCCGATTCTCGACCTGGTGGTGGATAACAGATTGCAGCGCCATCTCCACCCAGGTCTGTTAGTGGTCTGGCCGAAACAGCCCCGAGGTTGCGATGAAGGTGCGGCGCAGTCCCGCTGCCGTCGGCAGATCTAATAAATACACTCGATTGTTGGCTGACGTGGGGGCACGCACAGGGACACAGAGCGCTGTATTGCACCACTGCACAGTACAACGAAAGAAAAGGGTTCAGATGGCCCAAGCTTCTTTCGATGCGGGGCTGCCAAGACAGCTCTCGAGTGGATGGAGGGAGGGAGCTCTGATCATGGGTTCCGCTTTTCAGACGTTCGTCCTTTTGAATCTCTCGTCATCGACCAACGTCCCGCTTCAAAGCGGCCTACATCCCAGGCACCAGCAATCGCCGTCGACACAGAAGACAATATTCAATTATCCACTCGTGGAGTTGAATGGAGATGCGCTAGGCTTCAGCGCTAGATCCACTGTCCATTGGGACCATTGGCACAACCACGGGATCGACTGAGCTGCAGACTCGACCGCACCATGATTCGTCGCATTCTTCTCCTGCGCCTCGCGGGGTCCCAGAAGCTACTGCGCGACCTTTGCCCATAGCACCGCTACCCGCGCCGCCGTCCGCAACGACCTTCGCGCCCGGCCACAGCTACCCTTCCTCTCCGTCACAAGCGCCCGGAATGGGCGAGTGCGCTACCTGACGACCGAACGGAAAGCCCAGCTCAAGTACGAGATTAAGACGGGCATCAAATACACGGGCTACATATGGATCGCCGGCGCCGCTTTCCTTGGTGCCTGGTTCGCCATCGTCCAAGAGCGCCTCGAGCGCAGGTATCCTACGCCACACGAATGGGGTTACCGGACACGCATGGACTTCCGCGGCGGCAACTGCGCGAGGTACGAACCGTCACCGGGCAAGACCACCGACTGGCTCCAGGTGGCGTGGTGGTTTGAAACGACTGTCAAGCGGCTTCAAGATCCCAAAATTGACGGGAAAGACGTGAAGGATGCCCCGCACGACTGCCCGCCGGGTACGAAGGACATCACTGGGAAGTCGGAGGAGTGGAGGAGAGGGTACTATGAAGCCATGATGGGATATGCCAAGGCGGCCGAGTACGTGGAGGGTTGGGTGCTGGACAAGTCAAGAAACATTGTGTTCCCCGCAGGCACCATGATCGGGCCGTCGAATCCCTACCCCAAGCCCCTCCCCGCCGGCTTCAAGGGCGCGCCCAAGGAGGAGGACTGCGAGCTGCGGTTCGAGTCGCCCGACGACATCTACCTTCAGATCCTATCAACGCCAGGGTTCACAAACCGGCAGAAGATCGAAGCCGGCCTGGCGTACGGTTCCTGGCTCGAGTACAAGGGCGTCAGTGGCCCCGCAAGCATCATTTTGGAGGACGCGGTACACCTCGCCGCCTCCGAACGGCACGGCCTCCCCGCCGAGCCCCTCAACACCAAAACCTGGACCCTCAACGAAGCCGCCGGTCCGCCCTCCGAAAACCTTCTCAACTCCCTCACAGCTTACGCCACCTTCCGCGCCCGCCAGGGTGCCCTCAACTCGGCCCTCCCCATCCTGGTCTCCATCCTCAAAGGCCGCCGCAGCCTCCCCCCACCCACCTCCAGCACCGCAACCCCTATCTCCCTCGCCGCCGTCCTCAACCCCCCCCAACACCCAACCAACCAACCCCAACCCACCACCACCAACAAAAGCATCCTATACAAACTAACCCACTTCCTGGCCCCCCCTCCTTACCCACCGCCCCCACCCGACGGCACCTCCCCCCCCACCCGCGACGCCCTCGACCTCTGCCAAGAAGCCGCCCTCAGCCTGCACATCGGCGAGATCCTGTACACATCCTCCTCCTCCCCCTCCCCCGCCAGCCGCGAGGAAGGACTCGGGTGGACACGCGAAGCCGTCGACGTGGCCGAGGAGCAGCTGCACCAGCTGCCGCAGCGCGTCGAGCAGGACAGTCCCGCGCGCGCGGCGTGTAGGGAGTGTCTGGCGACGGGGCTGGGGAATTGGGCGGCTATGGTAAGGAAGTTGGCGAAGGAGGAAGGTGCTGGGAAGGAGAAGAAAAGTGCTGGGAGTGGTGGGGGGTGGTTTGGCGGGTTGTGGGGGGAGGGCGTGGCCAAGGTGGAGGACGTGGATCGCTGGGCAGCCGAGGAGAAGGTTATTGAGGAGCGCCAGCGGAGGGTGAGGGAGTTGTTGGAGGATTTGAAACCCCCGCCGAGGGGGATCTTGTCGTTCCTCCAGGCTTGAGTGACGCTGGTTAGGTAGGTGTGGGGACGGTGGATGGGAAGAACGGGCTGGCTGCGGGCTTGTACAAAATTGGACGGATGTATGTATATTGATGGGTGGATGTTGCGTGTTTGTTCAGTGTGGTATTTGTTGTATTGTACAACACTCTCGTTTGTTGACGGACGTGGGACAGGCTGGGCGGCGGGGTCATATTAACGTTAACCGCATCTTACAGGGCAGAACATATGGGGAAGCAGGCTTAAATTGAGGAAGCTATACTATCTGGCTATGTGGTATGTTATTACCATTATCTCACGCCAGCCTGCCTCAAGAGTGCTAAAACTCTAAATCATGTCCAGTGGACCCGAGCATGGCCACTTGATCACACCGAAAAACGCCCTCTCGCCTCCCTAGCGGGTGGCCGTGAGCTCCGTCATCTCTGTCACCAGTTCCTTCATATCCTCGGCGCTGGGGCCCTCGCTGGTTGGGAGAAGCGGATTATTCTGTCTCGGAGTCTCGACTCCGCTGGCCTCTGTCGCGCCATTGCCCTTCACGGGCACCACCCGGTTCTCGGTCTTGGTGCTGGAGCCGGTGGCCTTGGTGCTAGTGCTCTTAGCATCTGCAGTATCCTCCTTGGCTTGGGTGGTTGCTTTGGCCTTGCTGTTTTCCACGGTGGTCTGCGACTCATCGCCATTGTTGTCGGCTTTACCATCCGCGGCCTTGATGCTAATGTCCTGAGCCTGCGCAGTATCGTCGGCCCGGGTGGTCTCCTCAGCCTTGCCGTTCTCATGGGTCTTGTCATTCTCGTGGGCCTTGCCGTTCTCGAGGACTTTGCCGTTCTTCTGGACCTTGCTGTTTCCATGGAGTTCGCCGTTCCCGTGGGGTTCGCCGTTCTCATGCGCCTTGCCGTTCTCATGGGTTTTGTTGTTCTCCTCGACGGCCTGCGCCTCGCCGTCATTGCCCTTGGTTTTGCCATTCGCGGCCTTGGTATCCGTTACCTGATCCTCGACATCGCCGTCGTTATTGCCCTCCGCCTGCGGGGTACCCCACCACGAACTAATCTCAGGCACGACACCGCTGCCATCCTCGCCGAAGATCTCGACGACCTCGTTCTTGTATGCCTCTCCCTGCAGAGCGACCTGCTGCACCCACTGGAGCACCGCCGACTGGGCCTCGATGGGTATGGTCTCGGTGACTTGGGCTTTGCCGGCGCTGAAGACCGGGCAGCCGAACGAGGTGAACCCGGCCGCGCCAGGGTTGCCGCTGGGGCCGGCGATGGGGGTGTCGAGGGGCGTGTGGTGGATCATGTACGCGCGGGCACGCTGACGTGGTCAGTATCTCCGCACACCAACCGGGGAAGCAACCAACTTACCTCCTTCATGAACTGCTTGAAGTCATCGCACTTGAAGTTCTTGGAGCTGTAGAAACCACCCAAGATCACAAGGCAGCCCAGCCTCGCGCCAACCTTCCGCCATACCTCATCATCGTCCAGATACTTCTCCACCTCATCCGCCGTATCACCCACGGCAATGACATCGAGCTTCGCCTCCCCATTCACCAACCCCCCCTCCACCAGAGCCTCAAACACCCCCCGCACATGCTCCGCAACCGTCCTCTGCCCCGGCACCTCATTCACCTTCGGATCATGATACCGACCCACATGCACGGCACTCGCCATCGGCACCCTATGCCTCTCAACCGGCGTCAGGCCACGACCACCCTCCGGCCACCACCACAGCTCACCGGCATTGGCCAGCACAAGGCCCGGCGGCGACGCCTCGCCGCCGCACTGCAGCTTGCCGACAGCCTCGGCCAGGCCGATCACCGACCCGCGTGCCACCCCGCCGCGGCCCCCGATCACCCGGTGTGCGAGCACCCCGAGCGACTGGCTCGATTCATGGAAGAATACCACGGCGCGGGAGGCGTTGGGTAGATTGGGGGTCGTGCGGATGGGGACGTGGGGGTGCGTGTGTGGGGTGTTGAGGGGGAGTGGGATGGTGGTGAAGTTGCGGGTGTCTAGGCGCGTGTGGATTTCTTTACGGACGGCTTCTGGGAGGGGGGTTAGCTTTTGGTGACGGTTTCGGTGGTGAGTGGGGTGGTTGGCTGGCTGACTGACCGTTGAAGGCGAAGCGCTGGCGCTCGTTCCAGCGCTCGTTCTTGGTCAGGAAGTACTTGAAGTAGTAGTCGGGGTCGTCGATGGAGCGGATCTCGTCGATGTCATTGATAAAGTAGCTTGAGAGAGGTGCATTGTTAGCACGGAACGGGAACGATCGCTCGAATGACAGCGGCAGAGGCGGGGAATAACATACCCAAGCTCCTTGAGATCCGATGCGAAGATCGGGTCTGCCGGGAGGCCCGACCAGCGGCGGCGAAACATGGTTAGTCGGGTTGGTTATGGTGACGGCGCGAGATTTGTTGGAAGGAGAGTGAATTGTGGTTTGAGAATGGAGGAGTGGGAAAATGGAGAGGTGGAAAGGAGGAAGGGCGGAAGAGTGGGAGCGCAGAAAAGTGGAAGGTGCCGAATGGAGGTAATGGAAACCAGGATAGGATGGAATTTAACCCAGAGATTCACCATAGCTTAGCTCACTCAGTTTTATTATACCTTACAGAAGGGAAGCCAGCTAGCTTGGCTGCAAAGAAAGAGGACCAAGTCAATGACGTCTAAGAAAACATGGCATGGTTTGCTCAACCCCAAACCAGTAATCGAGAAAACAGCTGGTAGAGGGAACAAGAAAGCTGCATACCTAGGTTAGTATGTTCACCACGCTGTAACGTTTGCGGTCTTTCCAATGCTTTAAAAAAAAATTGGTTTTGGGGCGCAGACCTAGGACATTGTATCCAGTCCGCCGTGGATAGGGCAATAGAGGTCGGAGAGTAGTAAAGAGGAAATGAAGGCAGAGAGGAAACAGATGAGATCGAGGTTGGCAACAAGTTGAGCGTTGTTGTATCATTCTACCTTATTTGCCTCAACCTAGAATAGGAGGAAATGAAGCATGAGACGTGGAAAGTAGAACTAAGTGGGATCAGACAAGATACCGACAAAGTAGCTCTGCCATCTTCGTATTGTATATCTTAGTAGCATACCACAACGGCGTGCGACCCTGGTTATCCTCTGATCTGATGTTGGCGCCCATTCCGAGTAGAAATTCTACAGCGGACAAAGGCTTGTCCCTAGTCCTAGCCTCAGAAGCCACCGTATCGGCAGCCCAAGATAGGGGCGTGCGGCCTTGCTCGTCTTTCACGTCGATCTGAGCACCACTGCCCACCAAAATTCTCAGAGTCGCTTCCTGTCCCCAACGGGCAGCCCAGGATAGGGGCGTGAGGCCGTCCTTATCTCTCTGCTCTATATTAGCGCCCTTCTGAAGTAGAACCTTGATAGCGGACTCGTCACCAGCACTGGTGGCATGTGATAGTAGGGTTCGGCCGTTTTCATCCTTAAAGTCGATGTGAAGACCACTTTCGAGGAGCGGTAGAATCACGGTCTTTAGACGCATTTCTCGAGCAGCGTACCAAATCGGGGAGTGACCCCAACGATCCGCCTTCCCAATATCAGCGCCCTTCTTGAATAGCAGCAACACCATGCGTGGATTTCCCTTCTCAGCGGCATAGTGAATCGGAGTTTGGCCAAAGTAATCCTTTTCCGCAATATCGGCACCCTTCTCGAGTAAAAGCGTCACCACATCCAGATGTCCTCGTTCAACAGCATGCCATAATGGGGTTCGGCTGTTCCGATCCCTACGGTCAATATCGGCGCCTTTCTCGAGCAAGAGCCGTACCGTGTCTGGATGCCCATTTCTAACAGCATGAATCAATAGAGACCTGTCAGACATTTTATCTGGAAAGTCCACATCACGGTGGGATGTTCCCCTTCATACAACACGGTCAGCCCCTTCTCGTTGACCGGAACATGGTTCGACATCGAAATGTCGTCGCCCGCACCTTGCAACGCCTCACTCTCAATTATCTGTCGTCGTTTTTGTCGAGTATTAAATTCTCGAAGGGGACGGTTGATTGAAGGGTGGCCGACAGGTTCTGGGATGTCGGAAGCATTTCTTGGTGCGCAAGGCTGCCTCTTGGGCTGAATGCTGCTTGCATCAAGCCATCGACATGCATCATTGGCTGCAGCCGCTGCGGCGCTCTGTCACCATAAGCGCAACTGTGGGATGCGAAGGGAGGGGAACAACCTTGCGTTTGTTCTCAATTATAACTAACGCCGTTTGGTGGTTGGTAAAGCTATTGTGAGACTACGTTTAGACACTCAGAAAATGACTTGTAAACGCGGCCGACTGCGAGGGGATGAATAATGCGACGAGACCGCAAATGGCGAGATCTCGGGGTCCCTCAGTGCTAAAGGTGCAGCACCTGTTTAGTGGACCTTCCTCGGCCTTGATACATTCTTCTTCTTCGCATCCCGAGCGAAGCCCAAGACTGCAATGAAAAAGACGTTTGCGTCATCTAGAGACCGTGTGATACCAGAGACACGGTCCTCGCTAACATTGGCAAGCCAAGAGGTTAGGAAGGGAGTGACAAAAATAAATTTAATCAAATAAATCTTCTCCGTAGAGCAGTTTCAGAGATTAAACTGAAAAGAACAGATACTACACTTGATCTAAGCCATAAGGCAAAGAGAGCTAAAGAACAAAAGAGAAGAGTGCCAGAACGTGGAGGGGCAGACGATGATTTATAGTGGAGGGGCAGTTGGTCTGTGCACACCTGCAATTGCAGGAGGAGTGCACTGACCTTTTTTTCTCCCATCTCGAAGCCGGGCTTGGCTTCGTGAAATTCAGCCACACCGCCCGGCAGAACCACCAGGGAAGCGAGAACATCAGCCATTCAGCATCCCTAAAGCCTTGGTTGACGCGGAGCCGAAGACGACGAGACCCTGAGCGCCAACGCAATTCCTTCAGTAACAATCCCCGGTTGTCCCCCCGGCCCCCCGAATATACCGCCAAGATGTCCATGTTCAGGGCAAAGAAGCTCGACCTCGGGTGCTTTACCAACATCAAGATCATCCGGGACCATTCGAAGCGCAAGGCCTACGAAGCCGCCGAGGCCGAGAGGTACTGACTTCTCTCCGCTGTGTACCGGTTCTCAATTGGACGGCGCTAACACAGGTCCGCAGGCAAGCCCTCCGCTACGTCGTCCGCAACACGACCCTCCCCGCCCGCACACGCGCCATTGCCCAGCTGCAACTCACCCAGATGCATTGCTACACGCGCCCGACCCAGATCCGGAACCGGTGTATCCTCGGCGGGAAGGGGCGGGGTATTTTCAGTGATTTTAAGATGTCAAGAGTAAGTTTGGGGCGTTCGATCTTTAGGGATAGGATGATGAGAAAGCTAACCCTCGGCAGTACAACTTCCGGTTGCAGGCGCTAGCGGGCAATTTGCCGGGTGTAAAGAAGGCCAGTTGGTAAAAGAAACGACGGAAGTTTGGTGATTCCCGAGTCCGGAGTAATAGACGGGATCGGACTTGTGCCGGTTGGATTGCGGGAGACGTGGGAAACACCCCTTCCGGCTCTGGCACAAGCACAGATGTAACTAGGTGGGAGCATCGAAATCCTCATGCATGCCGTGTACAAATCTTGTTACAATATTAAACAAATATCATAAGAGTACCCTTTCTCCGGACGCCTAACCTCATGCGACCCCCAATCCCATCTATCATGAATGGTGTGTGAAACACCACCTCGAAATGTTGAAGGTTTTCCAACCTGTATCCTTACAGAGACTTCCCGGTCGCCTCTTCGGCCGCGACGGCCTGGCCTAGACTGTCCGTGGCCATGGCCTTCTCGCCGGCCCGCTTCCTCAGCACGTTCTCAATGAACGCCTCACCGGCCTTGTAAGACGACCGGACAAGGGGACCGCTGGCGCAGTAAAGGAAGCCCATGTCAAGAGCACGCTGCCTCCAGAGCTCAAACTCATCGGGCGTGACGTACCGCTCTACCTGGAGATGCCGCTTGGTGGGCCGCATGTACTGACCAAAGGTGACAACGTCCACGTCAACCTTCCTCAGTTCTACCAAGATGTTAGCAATCATCCTCCATATCTTACAGAAGCAGAGTACTTACCCCTCAACGTCTCCCAAATTTCCTCCTCCGTCTCCCCTAACCCCAGCATGATACTAGTCTTGGTGATGATCCCCTCCTTCCCCTTAACCTCCTTCACATGTTCCAGCACCTTCAGACTCTGCCTAAACGTAGCCCTCCGGTCCCGCACATACGGCGTCAGCCCCTCCACCGTCTCAACATTATGCGCATACACATCCAGCCCACTCTCCGCCACCACCTTGACCATCTCCAAATTCCCCCAAAAATCCCCCGTCAGCGCCTCCACCAACATAGTCGGCTTCTTCGCCTTAATCCTCCGAATGGTCTCCGCAAAATGCCGCGCCCCCCCATCCGCCAAATCATCCCGATCCACACTCGTCAGCACCACATACCCCAGCCCCCAGCGCGCCAGCGCCTCGGCCGTATTCTCCGGCTCATGCGGATCGAGCGGCGGCGGCGCGCGGCTCGTCTTGACACTACAAAACCGACAGCCCCGCGTGCACGTATCACCCATCAACATGATGGTCGCCGTGGCTGCGGCCTTGCTGCCGCCGCCCCAGCACTCGCCGATGTTGGGGCAGCGCGCCTCCTCGCACACGGTGTGCAGGCCCAGCCCGCGCAGGTCGGCCTTGATCTTGGCGAACCCGGCGTTGGTGCCGGCCGACGGGATCGGCGTCTTGAGCCATTCGGGGAGTCGTGTGATGGTGCGCTTGCGCCCCTCCGGCCCGACCGTTGCGGTTCGCGGGGCGTAGGCTTCGCTGGGGGGGAGGGTGTTGGGGGTTGCCGTGGGGAGGAAGTTTTTGAGGGAGGCGACATGCTCTCCCCGGTGACGCCGGGGCGGTCCTTGGCGCCGCTGTTCACGGCGCTGCTGACTTGGCTGGAGCTGAGCGCGGGGGTGTTGAGGCCGCTGTTGATGGCGGAGGCGGGCTTGCTGGCGCCGCTGTCCTCGAAGGGGTCGACGGCGGCCCTAGACGCGCCACGCCGGACGACGCCTCGTTCCCAGACGTGGCGCTGCTCGGACGCCATTGTGCCGACGAACTCTACGTGGTGGAAGATCATGACGACCCCGCCACGAAAGTCTCGGATTGTCGAATGTCAGGGCGCCAAAACGAGTCACGGTCCAAGCAGATTAATCGGCTTCGGCCAGGACGTGGTGGAGTTTGCCTCTTGGCGTCATTGCAGGATCGGACAACCGCATTGGGGTTAGGGTTGGACTACTGGGCTGGGATGGTTGCCTGTGACAACTGACCCGAGAAATCCGATTCTCCGTGAGACGACGACGTCTCAAATGGGATCAGGTTCAGGCCAGCTGGCTCGGTGTTATTATAATTTTTCAATCTTGAGTTCGAATCTTTCCACAAGCAACACAAGATAGCTCTATCTCTCAATGCTACTGAGATGCTTCCGCTTTTGCGTTCGCTTCGACTGGTCGAGTTTCCACTCGCCTCAGCGGCAGTCGACAATCGGACTGTGTACCAATTCTGCTCGCAAGAATCTACGACTTTTAACAAGCGGCACAGTGGTTAAATGCGGGGAATGTGTGGCAACGCTAGTCGGCGGTTTGTACACGGTAACTAGGCGAGAGGACGACATTAAGTGATGATGAAACGAAGCTGCGACAAACCGTCGCAAATATGCGCTTCCTGACACGGTGGGCCCAGACCGAAGGCTGTAATAATCCGAAATATTTGAGAGACCTGGGTATGCTTTTACAATAGCATGATTTTCCTGCTTGCCTGCTTGCCGTCTGTTGGTTTTCGTCGTTGTTGTCCGGCGTGCCGGGTGCTGACATCATCCACACCGTGCCCCCCGGCATGGTTCTCAAACCAAAACCACACACAGGATGAACGGCAGTGCGAGTAACACCATAAATCACAACAACACTTGGCCGTAGAAAATGGACGGGAGGCCAGCTGAAAGCAGGTAATCGGGTCACTTGAATATAAAGAAATTCAGGTCTTCTTGCGGTAAGTTTCGGACCTTAACAAAGCTCTTGCATGTGTGCTCAGGTGTTTGACTTGGGCCAAGCGCTTGGCGGGATTGGTTGTTGGTGGTATTGAGCATTCCTTGCATGTTGTTGGCTTAACAATATCCTTTCGGTTTTGGGCGTCAGAGTGTTAGAGCACTAAACGGCGTATTTTTCGCTGCGAGTGCCACCTGACACAGCCTCGTTCCCGGGCCACCCCCCCTTGGCTGGCTGGCGTGTCGCCTGCAAAACAGGTTCAACCGCCTGCACAACGTCCTTCATCACCCACCATCATTCCGCATCTCTCCACAACCACCACCGAATATACTCGCTATCGCATATCAACCGCGCGCCGAATTTCGCACAGACTTATCGCGCTTTACGTTCGAGACACCGTCCATTCCGTCAACAACTTTCGCCGCCTACCGTCAAAATGGCTTCGGGAGCTTACGACCCGTTCCGTCCTAAGGGGCAAGCTTCGCAGGACCCGTCCGCGCCATCGGGCTCCGGCCCGGATAGATTTGGAGTCATGAAGGAGGTGGGTTGGCGATCTTTTTGTTTTTTTGCATCAATCGGGGGAAGCTGTGTGTGATGGGTTCGGTCGCGCATTCAAAGATCAAGCCATCGTTGGGCGGCAAGCGTCACTATCACATTTCTCGAGATGTGTTCGACAACCAGCCTTCTTAGGGCAGCGATCAAATCGAATACACCCCGAGATACAACGAGACACCCTCCAACTCAAACAACGCCACTCCATACATCCGAGTGCTGGTGCCCAAGGTTGCTTGCCCAAGGAAGAGCGGCAGCCCTGCCTCGGAGAACCGGACGATGACGAGCGCACCACCCGAATGCCACACCGGAACCCTGCACTGCTTCCGCTCCACCCGATCTATTCGAGATTCTTGTGTTCTGCGACTGGGATTGTAGACTGACACTCTTCATCAGGAGCTCAACGGTGCCATCAGAGCGGCGAGCCATAACATAGAAAGTGTTCGGGATCGCGGCGAGCGCTTGGATAATTTGCAAGACAAGTCGGCCGGCCTGAATGCCGCGGCCCAGGACTTCCACGGCCGCGCTGGTAAGGTCCGGAGGCAGATGTGGTGGAAGGTGAGCAGATTTGCGACGCCCCGCGAACTCGGTTTCGCCTAACTCGTTCTTTAGGACATGAAAATGCGCATCTGGATAGGTGTTGGTATTATTGTCCTCCTCGCCATCATCATCATCCCAGCGGGTTTGTGCCCCCCCAAGCCACCCGATTCAAACTGCATTTTGCTGACGAGTCTCCTAGTTGTTACCACCCGGGGGAACTAATTCAACGATAACCATGACGACTCGATATCCACCGGGCGAATGAATGGCGCTCGTTTTCATATTACTTTTTCTGGGAGTTTGTTTTCTGGCTGGCAGCGGCCTGCTTGGCGTTGCGTGGATCTCAGTCTGGGGTGACGCTGCCTCTGAATGTAGCTGTACTTATGATGATTCGAGGGAGCAGGTTCCCCAATGCGTTAATCAAGTTACGACAAGTCTCTGGTCATTTTTTGCCTAGGCATTTTTACCCCTATGGAAGCGGAACGGCAGCTTGTGAGACTTCCAGGTTGATTGTGATGAGCAGGGCAAAAACGCCTGGGTCCTGCAAATGTAGTGCTATTCAGATTCAGCATTCATATCTTTCCATGACGCTGCGAGCATGATATTTTGGGTAACAAACCCTTCAAATCAGGACACACACGGCGCGCCTTGGCATCGCACTTCAGGTCAGGTCCGTAAATAGGATAAGGTAGGGACCTGGAGGTCGGCAGACACTGAGGTAGGTGCTTGGAAATCGCCTAAATAAAACCCTGCGACCTTTGCATATGCAGGCGGTAATACAGCTCAACCATGCGCTATTAACCAAGCAGTTTCCAAGAGAATGGCATGTTTTTGGAGGCCAACGCTGCCGTACTGAGTCGCATGCCGAAGTCGCTCCGCATTAGCTGCAGCCACTGACTGGGGCTCTGGGATGCTCCCCTCAGAAGCGGTTTCGGTGTCAATTTTTTTTTCCCTGGTCACAGAGGCTGCCCCTCCACCACCACCACTTGACCGACTCTTGCGAGGCCCCAACCTTTAAAAGCCCTGGTCAACCATTGACACCCGGCTTTGCTCCCGGCCTCGATCTCGTGCCATTGACTCTCGGCAGGGCCTCTGCCTTTCTTTTCTCCGTCCTTGCTCCTCTTGGTTTCTCCGCTTCCAATGGTGGATGGTCCGCTTGGAATTGACTCATCCGAGGTTTAGTTTGCCATTGAGCGCCTCCGATTCGTCACGCACTCCTCCAACCCACCACCACCTTGGGTTGCTATTTCAAGGCGTTCTCAACCTCCTCCCTCGGCCCGCACGTCCTTTCAAGCTCTCTACCCCAAGAATAACTAGACCCGGCCACCAAGATGCTTTCCGCTTGTGCTGTTGCCCTCAGGGCAGGTGCCCGTCGTAGCGTCCGCCGTCTTCCCCGGTCACGCGCCGTCGCCGTCCCCGCCGCCCTCCGCCGCGAAAGGCCGTTCTCCTCGTCTGCCGCCCGAACTACCGACCTGAGCACGCGGGGTATGATCGTGCAGACTCTCTCGTCCGTCGGGTCTAAGCGCGAAGTCCAACAATACCTCTCGCTTTTTACATCCGTGTCGTCGCAACGCTTCGCTGTGATTAAGGTCGGCGGCGCCATCCTGACCGACTACATCGACGAGCTCTGCTCCAGCTTGGCCTTCCTCTACACCGTTGGCCTCTATCCCATCATTGTCCATGGCGCTGGGCCGCAGCTCAACACCCTGCTGGAGCAGGCCGGCGTGGAGCCCCAGTTCGAAGAGGGCATCCGGGTCACGGACCCCAAGACGCTGCGTGTGGCGCGCGACCTGTTCCTCCAGGAAAACCTCAACCTCGTCAACAAGCTGGAGGAAAAGGGGGTCCACGCACAGCCCCTGACGACCGGCATGTTCAGGGCAGACTATCTGAATAAGGAGAAGTGGGGGCTGGTCGGAAAGATCACCGGCGTCAACAAGCAGCCCATCGAGACGGCTATTAACAATGGCTATCTCCCCATTCTCACGTCCATGGCCGAGACCGACGATGGCCAGATTCTCAATGTCAATGCCGACGTCGCTGCCGCCGAGTTGGCCCGTGCTCTCGAGCCCCTGAAGGTTGTTTACCTGTCTGAGAAGGGCGGTCTCTTTGACGCTGGGGGCCAGAAAATCTCGGCCATCAACCTGGATGAAGAATACGAGCACCTCATGTCTCAGTCCTGGGTCAAGTACGGCACCAGGTTAAAGATCAAGGAGATCAAGGAGTTGCTGGACACATTGCCGCGCGCTACTAGCGTTGCCATCATCCACCCCGGAGAGCTCCAAAAGGAACTTTTTACCGATTCCGGCGCCGGCACGCTCATCCGCCGTGGCAGCAAGCTGCTCTCGGCCACCAACCTGTCCGAGTTCAAGGACGTCGAGAAGCTCAAGGAGGTCCTGATCCGGGATCGGGAGGGCCCCGATGCACTGGCCACCGTCGACAAGTATTTCGAGTTCCTTGGCGAGAACAACTTCAAGGCATACTACGACGGGCCTATGAATGCCCTTGCCATCGTCTTGCCGGCAAACAACGGGCGCCAGGCTACCCTTGCCACCCTCACCATCACCAAGTCCGGGTGGCTGAGCAACATCGCCGACAACATCTTCACCGCTCTCCGTAAGGAGCACCCCCAGCTTGTGTGGACCGTCAAGGAGGACGACGAGAACCTCGGGTGGTTCTTTGACAAGGCCGACGGCAGCATTACGCGAAATGGTAGCGTCATGTTCTGGTATGGGATTGAGGACGGCGAGGAGGTCGTGCAGTTGATGAAGGACTTCACCGAGAATGGCCGCGCCATGCTTGGCAACTCCAACCTCGAGTCGCGGTTGCAGCGCGCCGCGGCAAATGGCGCCAAGCCCGTCCCCAACAGACTCGCTCGTACTCGACCCTCGCTCGCCGCCCCATCCTCTCGACTCCGGCTTTTGGCCAGGCCGGCCGGAGGACATACGTCACCCAGACCAACCCCAACCCGCCGATCGGCAAGAGGAACGCTTCCAAGTCCCAGCCTGCTAGGGTAGCGCTCATCGGCGCCCGTGGTTTCACAGGCCAGGAGTTGATCCGCCTCCTCGACTCCCACCCGAACATGGACCTCCGCCATGTTTCGTCGCGCGAGCTCGCGGGCACCAAGCTGGAAGGGTACAGCAAGAGGGACGTCATCTACGAGAACCTCAGCGCTGAAGACGTCCGGGATATGGAGCGCCGTGGTGATATCGACTGCTGGGTCATGGCGTTGCCAAACGGAGTGTGCAAGCCGTTTGTCGAGGCCGTCTACGAGGGTCGCAAGGGCTCTGATCACAAGAGCGTCATCGTCGACCTCTCCGCTGACTACCGTTTCGACGACACGTGGACCTATGGTCTCCCTGAGCTCGTCCCCAGGGCGAACATCACCCGGTCGACGCAGATTGCCAACCCCGGTTGCTACGCCACAGCGGCGCAGCTCGGCATCGCTCCCCTCGTGCCTCACCTCGGTGGCATGCCCCATATCTTTGGCATCTCCGGTTACTCGGGTGCCGGCACCAAGCCGTCGCCCAAGAACGACGTCAGCCTGCTCACAGACAACATCATCCCGTACAGCTTGACGGGCCACATCCACGAACGCGAGGTCACCGCCCAGCTCGGCGCGCCGGTGGCCTTTGTCCCGCACGTCGCCGTCTGGTTCCGCGGAATCCACCACACCATCTCGATCCCGCTCAACAAGACCATGACGTCGCGCGACATCCGCCAGATCTACCAGGACCGGTATGCCGGCGAGAAGCTTGTCAAGGTCGTCGGCGAGGCGCCGCTGGTCAAGAACATCAGCGGGAAGCACGGCGTCGAGATCGGCGGCTTCGAGGTCGACAAGTCTGGGAAGCGCGTCGTCGTCTGCGCCACCATCGATAACCTGCTCAAGGGCGCCGCCACCCAATGTCTGCGTAAGTCTGCTTTCTTTTTTGTTTACATCTCCTGGCTCGACGGTTGCTAACACCAGTAACAGAGAACATGAACCTCGCTCTGGGCTACGCCGAGTACGAGGGTATCCCCATCATGTAAACGGACTATGGCGATACATGCATAGATGGGCGTTCATAGATGGGCGTTCCTTTCGGGTGGTTGGTCTCTCTCCTGAGAGGGCCGGGGTTCTAGGGTTCCACACTGCGTTTGTCACACGTCAGCGGCGCTGACTAGCGTGGCGCTCGTATCTTTTATTTTCCACTGTTCATACGGTCCATTTCCATCTTTGAGGAGTTATGGCGGGGAAGCTTCGTTTCGAAAATGGGGTTTCGGGTTCCTTCGGCTCCAGGACGATCTGGGATTTTTTCGTCGTCGTGGGTAGGTTTTGTATATAGTTGGGGACGAGGAATCTCAAGGCTGGATCGTTGTTTTTGAGTTGCGTCTTGCTCGTGTTTTGATTGCGTCTTTTTGGGCGCTGGCGGGTGTTGTTGTTGTTGTTGCTCAGGCGAAGGAAGCGGTGATTTGTTTGCTGCTTGGGCATACAGCGACACGTCTAATGTTTACGAGCAATGACGCGGTGTTTGGCAGGGTTTTACTGATTCTATTTCTCTATGATGATGATTCTCTATGGTTTAAATCTAGAGGAAAAGAGGTAGAATTCCCGTGATGTCTAGATAGAGTTTCAGATGACAGTTCTCATTGTTGGAATGGCAACAATCTTTAGAGCGTGGATAAATAAGGGAGAGTTACTAGTCAAGACCGGGAACTGTAGAAATCTCGGCAGACCGTTCGTGACTTCACAACGGGTGGCATCAGACGAGGGAAGAAAAGGGCTTGTGCCTATGCCCTCTGGGCCACTGTCAAAGTTCGAAGTGTACCCAAGTGACTAGTAGGTCTGTGAAACTTCGTCAGTGCCACCACCGATTTAGTGTCTTACCAAAAGCGGCTCGAAGGTGTGAGGCTTATTCGAACCCGGTAGGCAGGAAAGCTAAGCGGTTTACCTTGGCCCCTTTTGAACAGTTAGCCCTGGCCCGAGAGAATAAATAGTGTAGTGATCCTGGGGGTTCTTCAGGTGAGGTAACCTTTCTCCTTCTTGCTCAAAACATCATTCCGTGAAGCCCGTCTTGAGTTTCTGGTTTGGTCTTTGGGTCATTTCTTTTTTGTTCCCGTTCTTTGTTTTTTTTTTTTTTTTCTGGGTAGATGATAAATATTTTTTTATTCCCCTTCCATGCCCGTTCTACCCGCCTATTCTTTTTTTTTTTTTTTTTGTGTGTCCTTTGGCACCGGGGAAGGAAAAGACCCCGGTCATCCATTATATTCTGGGGCGGCAAACTCGGCGAGCATGCTGTACTGGGCACCGGCGCCAGCCCAGACCAGTCGCAAATCCGCGACACTGGCGTGGGTAACCTGAGTCGCAACCTCAATCTCCTCGCCTTTTTGGGCAATCTGCTTGGTCAGGTTGAGGCCCCAGGTGTAGACGTTTTGGTCGGTCGTAACTGCAAGACTGTGCTCGCTCGCAGCTGCCACGAACGCAGCTGGAAGCCCTGGAATGGTCGTCGGGACCCCGAGGAAGCTCGGCCCCCGCGAATCTCGGACGACGGACTGAGGCGGCAAGGTATCGACCTTGAGGCCCGTAGCACATGAATAGAGTCGGCCCCAAGAGAGGCACCTCCCATCTTCGGTAACCGCGAGAGTGTGGAAGTTTCCTCCGGTGACTTGCTTTGTGCGTGGAAGGCCCACCAGCCCCTTGACGAGGGTGGGGACAGAGATCACGATGGTGTGTTCGTGGGCCGATTCGTGATCGCCGGCTTTGTCAAGGGCTCCGACCTGCCCCGCGTTGTTGAATCCCCAGCCATACACTAGGCCGGAGCGCTCGATGGCAAAGGAATGGTTTGAGCCACTCCCGATGTCGACAATATCCCTAAGTTCGGCAACCTTGTGCGGGACAAGCCCCGCCTTACTCCAGTCCACGATCCTAGAGGAGAAGCGGCGGCCGAGCTGGCCATCAGTGCCTCTGCCCCAGGTGTACACGAAGCCATCTGCTGTGAGGGCTAAGACGTGGTTGCTTCCGCAGCATAGTTTGATAACGTCCTTGACGGAGGGAATCAGAGCCGGGCGGGACTGCACCTCGACGGTGGGTGTGAATGACAGCTTGCCGTCCTCTGACTGTAGGAAAGTTAGTACATTGAATTGATCTTCAAAATGGAAACTTGGTAACCTACCCTAAAACTACCCCATCCGTAAACAAGGCCAGTGCTGGTCAGGGCAAAGGTGGCGTTGTCGGTAGCCGCCACCTGGGTGAATACGGTGTCCGGGGGCAAAGCACCCATGTCGACGGGTGTTGGCGTGGATTCTTTCGGGTTGAGGTCGCCCCCATCATCACTATCGCTGTCGTCGCCATCGGCATCCACCAGTTTCTCCTCCCATGCGGTGTCGCGGCCAAGTGCGCCATGGTCGTTGACACCCCAGGTCAATATCCTGTTGTCCTGAGTGAGCGCCACGCCATGCATGGCACCGAGGGATATTTGGACGACCCCCGACTCTGAGAGATAGGGGTTCACGCGCGGTCTCCCAATGTTCCCCGACTTGACGCTGGGGCCGAGGCCCAGCTCGCCGCCGCTGTTGGCGCCAAAAACGTAAACGATCAATGACCTGGTGGGTCTCTGGCTAAGGACGGGCAACGTCTGGGTGGCCCGCTGCCCTGCTGCTGCCGTTTGGGATCGGTGAGATACTCGCGGCACAGCGCTGGCAGTATGAGCTTGAGCCTGAGCCTGAGTTTGGATGAGACGCTCGGCTGTTGCTGACGTTTTCTGTCGTTTCGATCGGCCTTCTAGCATACCAGCGTCGCGCTCGCGGGCCCTCTTGGAAGTGGCGCCCTTGTGGCCCCTTGTGGTTGTTGTCGGTTTCCTCGGTGCCATTTCGTCGACTCAGAAGCTATCTAGGTCAGGTTTTGTGGTGTTTATTTGATGATCTTGCACGAGCGGCAATCGTGAGGAAGAAACCAGTTCGCTCTCGCTTTGCCCTTTTGTCGACGCGATTATTAGTCATCTCCTGAGCAGAGTACGCCTTGGCCGGCTGCGCCATTCCACGCCATTCCAAATTAAGATTTGAATTTCAAACCCTGGTAATCTTCCATTGTGCCACAATCTTTTTGTGTGCTGCTCTGGTGCCAACAAGCTCAAGCTGTGGGTGGCGGGTTGCCAGAAGTTCAAGTGAAACGTTTGGGAACTGTCCAACGTCCCTGGACAATGGATTTGTGTGGGGCTTTCTTTAACTACATAGGTACCTCCGAATAGCTGGTCAGTTCCGCTAAAACTAAACTATAGCGGCTCATGGAGTCGGCATCAGTATCGGGTTGAGTGCCCCTCCTCCACTTCCCCTCCAAGTTTCGAGCTCCACCCGGATAACGTCGTTGGGACTCGGAAGTCGAGTCAGATCATCATCAATTGAGAGTTACCGTAGACTTTCGGCATCGACGCTTTCTTCTTCTTTTTTTTTTTTTTTTTTGGTTCTAGCCATTGATTGCTTCGAGGGTCCCAATTGACAGATCAACGATCCCGACTTCTATTTCCATAACCTTGAGAGAGCCCCCGGTGCAACGCCTACCGCAGCCTCCCCAACATCTCCAAACCTCTCACGCTCGGTTCGTACGACGGCCAATCAGACACAACACATCATGATTGAGCTTCCTCTGGATCATGGCTCATTGGAGCACCTCCTCCCTGTCTCTTGGAAGTCTCAGGTCGCCGCGTGGCTCGCTGAAGACACCCCCTCCTTTGACGTAGGCGGCTTTGTCGTCGGTAACGATCTACGTACGGCTACGCTCTGGGGCAAGTCCTCCGGAGTTCTCGCCGGTGTCCCCTTCTTCAATGAAGTCTTCACCCAGTGCGGATGCACGGTTGAGTGGCACTCCCGCGAGGGCTCGCACATCGAGACCCACGGCGACAAGACGGCCCTGGCGACCGTGAGCGGCCCTGTGCGGGGTCTGCTAGAGGGCGAGCGCGTGGCGCTTAACATTCTTGCGCGGTGCTCTGGGATTGCCAGCACGAGCCGCCGGCTGCTGATCAACCTCCGCAGTGCTGGTTGGCAGGGTACCCTGGCAGGCACGCGCAAGACGACTCCGGGGTTCCGCGTAGTTGAGAAGTATGGCATGCTAGTCGGCGGTGCCGATACCCATCGCATGGATTTGAGCACCATGACCATGCTCAAAGACAACCATGTGTGGAGCCGCGGGAGCATCACCCAGGCCGTCAAGGCCGCCAAGGCTGCGGGCGGATTCAGCTTGAAGGTCGAGGTCGAGGTCCAGAGCGAGGAGGAAGCCGACGAGGCCATCGCCGCCGGCGCCGACATCGTCATGCTCGACAACTTCACCGGCGAGGGCGTCAAGGCTACCTCCCGGAGCCTCAAGGAGAAGTGGAACGGCAAGAAGCATTTTCTGGTCGAGGTCTCAGGGGGACTGACCGAGGATAATGCCGAATCCTATCTTTGCAACGGTAGGTTCTTACTCCGAGACATGAAATGGACATATTTGCTAACGAGGCTGGCAGATGTCGACATCCTCTCGACAAGCTCCATCCACCAGGGTGTGCGCCACATTGACTTCTCCCTCAAGATCAACGTGGAGAAGGGGGACGGCGCGGCTGCATCGAGTTGAGCACTATACAGATGGTCACAGGCCGCTCGGAGTGAGCAGACAAGTGTAAGAAATCACAGGCGCCTTAATGCAAAATGTCTTCCCCGTCTCGTCGTTCGAGTACTTCGTGCTCCGAAGTCGCTCCCTTCATGTTCAAGAAGAGGAAGGCAAGCCTATGGCAGGGGCCAACTAATGAGAAATGCAGCTGCAATCTCACAGCTGCAATCTCGCATTTCTCTTTCACCGCTTCTTGTGCATCACCACTGCGCCTGTCCCTCCCACAAATGGCACGCCAAATCAGCGGTATTTGCGCCAAGATGGCCGCAAGGGTCGTTGAGCCCTTGCAGCTCATCGTTCCAAACATAGCATGTCCACGTGGCAACCGGTCCTTTCAAACGGGGGATAAATTCACAAGGCTCGGGTTTCTTGCGCATGCATGTTCCTCTCGTGTCTGTCTGTCAGCGGCATAGAACCGGGTTGAATGGGTAGGCAGATCATCGATTCCTCCTTCACTCCCAACAAACGCCTAGCAGGAGAAACCCATGGACACTGCCCTTGGCATTTTCAAACTAAGAGAGTCGTGTACGAAGTAGTTATTGACCATCGCCACGAAGCAGGCCGACGCTAGCATTAGCGGCTCACGAGTTGTTTAAAGTCCTGCTTGGAATAGCTATTAGTCTAATTATCTCGCCAGCCCGAGAATTGTCGGTCCCATCGCCATTGCCCATTGTCCGTCAAGACTCAAAAGCCAGGGATTTGAGCAGGGGAGACTCCCCTGCCATTGTCCGTCAAAAGCCAGGGATTTGAGCAGGGGAGACTCCCCTGCCATTGTCCGTCAAAAGCCAGCGATTTGAGCAGGGGAGACTCCCCTGCCATTGTCCGTCAAAAGCCAGCGATTTGAGCAGGGGAGGCTCCCCTGCTTAAACTCCTTCCGGTTGGTCTCGGCTCGAGGCGTTGAAGTGAATCCCACAGCGTGGTTCCAGCCGCATCTCCGGGGCAGAGATCGCCGCTGCGGCAACCGTCAAAAGCCAGGGATTTGAGCAGGGGAGACTCCCCTGCTTGATTATCTGCGCCCCTCCACGTGGTGGAGGATTCAGACCCCAGACAAGCTGCAAGACATACATATCCCGAGTGTACACGCACCAATCCCGAGGCCGGCGCTGTTACCTATCCCGAGCTCCCCGTCACGCCCCGAGATGCCCTGTCGTAGCCTGGCCGGTCAGGACCGCGATACGCATGCCTGGCTGACGGAATTTAATTTACTTGAACCACAAGGATGGCACCCACACCACTCTGCTCGCTTGTAACTGACTCCCTGTCGCCATGTGGATGACAAGGTTCTAAAGCCGAAAGTCCACATAAATTACCCACGGTGTGGTTGCCAACGGCCAAGCGTCTGGGAGTCCCCATGCATGGATTGCGGGCGGTGGCCGTTAAGTGAGCAAAAGACTGTCGAGAGCCCACAGGGATCTCAAACGGCCCCCAGACTGCAAGAGGTTGTTTGAAGAAAGGCTATGCTGTGATCGACAGTTCCCTAGTCTTGGGGTGCCTTGCACCATCCCAACCACGGAATTGTCCAGAGTTGAATGGAATCTTGCTCGCCGCTGCGTTTAAATACGAGCTTGTCCCGGCCTCGGGGGACCATACACACCCCATTATCGCCATACAATCCTGTTTTCAAGCCTTCCACACCAACAAACGCTCTCTAGGGAACCCCAAGTTGTGAGGCAGTCCGTGAAACCGAGAGCTTTGCGTACGTTCCTCCCCCTCTCCCCTCGACAGAGTATATGTTGACTCTTCCTGGTCCCGTCAGCTATTCAGTACTCGCCAGCAAGCAACCAGAGAGAGGAACATACCCTATCTTTCAGAGCTATCTCAATGGACCGTCAAGACAACAGCAACACACAAGACTGGACGAACCTCTTCGTCAAGGACGCTCAAAGTGAGAGGCAGAAACGGGAAGAGCACACGAAAGATATAGAACAGTCCATTGAGCAGTACACTACAGCAGCCCGACAGAAGATCAAGGCAGCCTTGGGTCCGGAAGAGGCGGCCTTACTTCCGGTTCCACCGCCGCTTCCGCAGAACGCCGCCCTGGATGATAAGGCCGAGAAATGATGATGTGGCGCAAGCTGAAAAGTGCATGGTGATGTGGTGACACGGGGCAACAATGATGCATATTCCGGGGTACGGGTAAGTTTATGCTACGGATCTTGCGATCGGTATTTTTCATGCTGACACTTCCCGGTTCTGAAGGGTCATGGTATTCGATGGGTTTCTGGTTAGGCATAGCGGGGAGTTGGTAGGGGAGTTAGGGCAGTCGAAGAACAACAGCTTAAGCTAATATCCTGCCTTTGCCATGCTCATTATATGCTCCGCGTCTCCTTGACTTCGACTAACCATGTATAATTCTCCTCTGGTATATGACAAAACACTTGACAGCGCTGCAACAACGAGGAAATCAGGGGAAAGGAAGCATATCATCCTGACCTGGTCATCCCCAGAACTAGGGTATCCATCCTCCTCCATTGTATCTCGCCTCCAAACCCAAAAAGCACCCCAACACAACACGACCACCAATCCCCAACCCACGCACCCACAAACCACCCGACATAACCCAAACCCACCACACAAACAACCTCAAACCCAACCCCCACCCAAACCCATAAACAAAACAAAAGAGAAAGAACAAGAAAAAGAACAGCAAAAGACAATCCCACAACCCTCCTTCACCTCACCTCAACACTCTCGAGGCGGTGTGGCCACCGGCTACCCGCATACACCACCCCTCGAGGCCATGCCGGCACCCGTGCAGCATGACCATTTTCCCCGCGCCTGCGTGCGGCTTCCACCTCATTTGGACAGGAATTTTGCCGGGTAAAAAGGAAAGAAGGAAAGAGGAGGCAAGGGGTGAAGCTAATGGTGAGCGGCGGGCATGTCGCCGGGGGGGTTACATAGTAGGGGACTGGGGGGTTGTGAGGAATGGTTGGGGGTAAGGATGGTGCTAGGGCGCGGGAGCGTGCAAGGGGCCGGTGAGAATGGGTTGAATGTCGAAGGGTGTGTTGATTGTGACTGTGGATTGTGGTGGTTGTGTTGGAGGCCCGGGTTTGTTGTGTGATACTCCCTCCCCGCATGGAGATATCCTGGCGAGGGATGGCGTAGGTCCCCAGGTGGGTAGGCCTATGTATGCACATCACCTGCTCTCCCGTCTTGGGCCCCTGCGGTTCAAATCCACACACACACACAGGTGACGTGAGAGACTTTTTGACCGTGATACACCGGTGTCATGGTGCTGCAAGTGCCCATGGTGGACAGCTGCAGGTATGCTGTCAGCTTCGCTAGATACGGGTCGTGGCGTGAAGACGGGGTAGTGCACCGAGGGATGTAGCTGACATTGTTAACCGGGACTTATAAATGGTCGCCTCGAGACTGTCAACCGGGAAGATAATTCTCTGTTTTGTAGCACGACAATCCACATTTTACACATCTTGCACAGTTCGTACACTTCACACATCGCAACCATTAAACAGAAAACATGGTCTCCGTCGGCCACGCCGAAGTGTCTGGTTCCTCTTCCGAGGCGGCCGAGACCCCTCGCCAAGCGCATGCGCTCGACAACAAGGCCAACGCAGAGGCAAGGGGGGCGGGCCAGACAACCGACAGTTCCTCTTCTCCCGTTAGCGACTTGAGTGCGTTCGGGTCTGGCAAACAGCTCATCTCGACTCTCCTTGCGAACTGTTTTGGAGATGACGGCGACTATACAACTGGCGGGAGTCTATTCCCCGGAAGCCACGACACCACTGACACCTATGCATGGGCACTTGCGTCGGGTGAAGCCCAGGCAGGTGTTCCCTGGTAAGCCAAGTTTTCTAGTCAAGGGTCAAAAAGAGATGGCTGATGAGCAGGAAAGCTTTCACGGCGGAGATAGCCCTTCCACCTGCCAGAAGTGTTTTGTCCAAGCCAGGTCCGAAAGAGTGTGGTCCGTTCCCCGAGGCGGCCGGTGCGGGGAGGAGAATAAAGATAAGAAGCGCAACAGGGTCCGCCGGCAACGTTGGGGAGACGGGGAACCATATCCTTACCCTCCCCGGGACAATCGAAGACCACCGGGGCCTGGTTCCCTTCCGTTGTCAGCAGCAGGCTCGGGGTCCGGTGACCAGCCGCGGAATGCAAAGGCTTAGCTGTGGGAGCGTCTGGTGGGTGGTCAACATTGGTCGATAAATAAATAGCTTGGGAGTGAAATTGATGTTAACCTTGCCTTCCCGTCGCTGTTCCGCGAGCTTTGGCTGGTAGGTATTTGAGTTTGACTGCTATGGTGTGGTGTTCACCCTGGTCCCCTGTAAGCTGCTGGGCTGGGTTCGTACCCATGAAGCTGTTAGCCCATCTGAATTGGGGTAAAACGAGCACTGTGAGGCGACAGCTCCAACGGCGGGCCAAACTGCAACCCCTTCGAAGCTGAATTCGGTGTTTGGGGGCCCCCCACAGCAACCCAACAGCCCTGTCATTTTTAGCAGGCTGGGTGCTCCCAATCGGCCGCCGGGTGACTCAACCGCTGGCCAAGCAAGGAGGCGGCGTCTTCGTCGATTGGGGACACAGGGAGGCCAACATCGTGGTACCACAAACGCCAGGTAAAGCTGAACAAACGAAAGCCTGCTCTGCCGTGTCGTTGTGCTTCGAGAAGACCTTTTGTGCTCGGGGTGACTCGAAACCTGCATTCCTTTAAGAAAGCCTGCACTCAACATTTACAAAAACTTAACTAGCATCTTCCTCCAACCACGAAAACACTTCGTTCGTCTGCGTTCCCCACCTTCCCAATTGATCCTGTCTCTTGCCGTTCCTTCCACGACCAAACCAAAATAAAGGTCTCAAAGTTTACAGACCCCCACACGAAGCACGGTGTAAGTTCATCTCATATTTTTCGCATCAATCGACCAGCACAAGACCAATTGGCCAGGCGATAATTCCCACAACTCCTTCTTCCTCCAGGGCAACCCTCAGCGCATCTGCTTACAACAAACAGAAATACAAACAGCACGAGAAACATACAGCCTCCAAAATGGCGAAGACAATACCAGTTATCGAGATCGACGGCCGAACAGGCGAAGGAGGGGGCCAGCTTGTGCGCATAGCATGTGCGCTAGCGGCAGTCGCATCTCAACCAGTTCGAATCACCAACGTTAGAGGCGGTCGCGGCGGGGGCGGCGGTATGTCCATGAATTCATTCGCTTACCCACCCACCCACTCACCCACTCGCTCACATATTCACCCATCCGCTGCCGCACCCTCACTAACAAACAAACCACCAGGCCTCAAATCCCAACATGTCACCGCCATCCAGTACCTAGCCAAGGCTACCGCCGCCGACGTCTCAGGCCTCTCCGTCGGCAGCCAAAAGGTGGAGTTCCACCCACAGCTGCGCCCCTCGGACCTCACGAGCCGCAACATCAAGATCGAAGCAGACTCGCCCGCGGCGTCGACGATGCTGATCTTCCAGGCCGTGTTCCCCTTCCTGCTGCTAGCGGGCAACGGCAAGGGCGATCCGATCCGGCTAGAGATCTCGGGCGGGACCAACGTGTCTTTCTCGCTGTCCTTCGAGTACCTGGACCAGGTGCTGTTGCCGACGCTGCAGGACGCCTTCGGCATCCGCGTGGAGCGCAAGCTGATCAGCCGGGGCTGGAGCCTGGGGAAGCAGCAGCGCGGCAAGGTGCAGTTCCGATTCACCCCGCTCAAGCGCGGCGAGCCGCTCAGGCTGAGGGAGGAGGGGGATGTCTACGGCGGCGACGGGCCTCAGCTGAGTGTGAGCGATGTGGAGGCGATCGACGTCACGATGATTGTCCCGGCCGAGATGCATGATTCGTTGGAGGAGGCGCTCCGGGAGACCCTGGCCACCCTTTTCGGGGATGTGGAGGTTGAGTTCAGGCTCAAAGAGGACAGCGGCGCCGATTCACGGATATACGTCCTGTTGGTCGCCCACGCCAGAGAGGGCAAGGTGCGCTGGGGAAAGGATGTGCTTCGGTCGATGCCTAAGAAGCCTCGGGATAAGGGCAAGGGAGGCCAATCGAACCCTAGCGCGCTGAGCCAGAGCATCTCTAATGATGTGGCTAAGAAACTGTACGAGGAGGTGAATTACGGTGGGGTAGTCGACGAACACCTGCAAGATCAACTGGTTATCTTCCAGGCTTTGGCCGAAGGCCGGACATCGTTTCCTCGGACCACCGCTAAGGACGACCTCGAGCAATCGATGGCAAAGCTAGCCATGAACGGGAAGATGCCCAGTGTCGCAATTCGGGGCTGCCGTCGTCGCCGCCTCGCCCGATCCACCAACTCCGAGTCCCCTCTGGATCCAACCATCCGGCGAGTGGTGCGTCATCCTGCTCCTTGTGTGCCCCAGCTTATGTTACGCCGCGCACATTCGCTGACTAGCCCGGCAGGTATGGAATCGACGGGACCTGGTCTAACTGGCATGGTCAGCACATGTTGCAAGTCCGACAGTAGCTTGGAAGCTTCCTCCGTTAACTGTTGTGGAAGCGTTGGGGAAACAGCATCACAAGACCGTGCCTGCCGACTTGCGCCTACACCCAGTGGAGTTGACGGACTAGGGAACCGTTCGCACTTGACGTCGATAGGCGATTAGCGCCCCACCTAAACCAGGCCAGCCGCAAGGCTGCATTATTCCGTTGCAGCCACGCCTGGTTTTTGCTGAAGCACCCCTCTCAGTCGGAGAAGTGACTGATTGGTTGAGGCAAACCCTACTCCACTTCACAATCAGACCGGGCAAGACAGCCCACCAAGAATTCGCAAAAAGCCCTGTGCAGGTCGAATTCCGAA